TCGATTGGAATCTTTGATAATGCTAACACTGATGGTACTATAACTTTCAAGCTTCATAACTCGAAAAGTAACTACATAATGAAAATTAACTTCATTGTAGTGTTTTGAAAAGCTCTTGACATTAGTTATTAGATTCTGGAAACAAAAATAGGGTCACATTAAAAAAAAAATCGATATGACCTTGACAACGCCACCCAAAATCAAAAAACAGATGTGATCAGTAAATAAATCTTTTTAAACAACTTTTGTCTGAATCATTTTTCCCAAAAATATTTTATTTTCGAAATATTTCACAAGTCTTAAACTTTTTATTCACCCTGTGTACTCCAATATCCACATAAATCGAACATCTTAAATATTTCGCTTATTTTTGATAGTATAAAAAATGTTTTAAATGAAAGTGGAATAGTTTCGAGAGGGACGTATTTTGGTAATGTTGTTTTTTTTCTAGGTGGAGGCTCGGAAAAAGGTATAAAGGTCACCTCCACTTTTTAAAATAAAATAAAATAATTATTTTTTTACATGATATGATTCCTCTAATTATTTTGCATATAAAAATATTAAGATAAAGAAATATCAAAAAACTAATAGTTTACGAGACATTTTACTCTGATACATTTTGGCATAAAACATAAAATATCTCGTAAACTATTAATTTTTTGGTAACTATAGCTTAATACTTTTATGCACAGAATAAGATGAATCAATTAATGTGGAAAAGAAAACATACAATTGTTATTAAAAAAAAAAAAACGTAATTGCACATTATAAATTGTATAATTTTTTTTAACAATTTTTTAACAAATTTTCTGCACCAATCGATTCATCTTATTATTTTGTGCATAAAAGTATTAGGGTATAGTTGCCAAAAAATGTATAGTTTATGAAATATTTTATGTTCCACGTCAAACTGTCAGAATAAAGTATAAAATGTCTCGTAAACTATATATTTGTTTTTTTAATATCTATCTTAATATTTTTATATGCAGAATAATTTGAGGAATTATATTATATATCTAAAAAAAAAAATCATATAATTCCGTTTTAAAAAAGTGAAAAATGACCTTCATATCTTTTGGCGCCTCCATCTAAAAAAAAAATGTGATCAAAATACATCCCTAAATATATATAATATAATACATTCCGTTCCATTTTCATTTGAAACATTTTTGTATATCATTAAAAATAAGTGAAATATTCGAGATGATCGATTTGGAAGTGGACCATTCTATATAATAATCGGGAAATGATTATTTTGTTTTTTACTTTTTTACAGTTATATTTTAAAATAACAATTTCATAATGATGTTGCAATTTTTTATATAATCATAACTAACTAAACGCTGAGGTTATGTTAAGGTTAAGAAAGTCACTTTGAAAAATAAATTCTCATCATTACGCTTCATTTATTGGAAAAAAAAAAAAAAAAACTAAATAACAAGTAACACCCGGAGTAAAATTACTCCGTTACAAGTTACATTAAAAAGTAACAAGTTACAAATTGCGAGTTATTTTTTTCAGTAATGACTTTTCAAACCCGTTATAAGTAAACTATTGATTGTTTCAATTCTGATGTTACATTATCATATAAAAAAATTGCAATGTTATTACCAAATCGTTATTACAACAAGATAACTAAATAACTAAATGAACAGTTACAGTAACTTCCTAATAATACTACTTACTGTTGCAGATAAGTCGCTTTTGTTATATTTTAGACGAGTCTCTAAACCACGTATTTGAGATTCAACCGTATTCAATTCAGATTCCTTGCGTGATTTTTTCAAAGATTCCCTCAGTTCTTCTGTTAATTTTTCCTATAAACAAAAATTAAAATTAAATATATGTTTTTATCTTTATATTATATAGAAATAAAAATGTATTACCTTTTGCGCCTTTAATTGAGACATTTGTTTTTCATCCCATCTTTTCGCTTTCTTTGCAAGATCCAAACTACCACCAGATATTATACCAGCTTTCTGATAAAATGTACCGTCTAATGCGACGCACTGTAAATATTTTACACATCACAGTTTAGTTATGATTTTATAGTTTAATTTAAGCAAATACTGCATATATACTTACATCATATCTTGTTTTCTTGTCCATCTCATACGCTACTTTATTTGCATCTTCAGGTGTTTCACATACAAGAGCATTATTAGTTGCAAAGAGAACTGCTCTATCAATATCCTTCGGAGAAAAATGCAACACATCATATAATAATTTCACGTTTTTAGGTTCTTGTATATTACTGCAAAATAATATATAATATAAAATCACCATTATAAAGTTGAATATAAAAAACATAAAATGACAAAAAGTTAAAGACTATGTAATAATTTATTTATTTACCGAAGACGTTCTTTAAGTGGTTTAGCTTGTATATAATCAAGTGGAAGAAATGTTTCCGGTTCGAGATACTGTTCCTTCAAATATTGGATACATTGTCTGGCAGTTTTCTCAGTATCTACTACAATAGCTTCCATGTATTTACCAAGTACTTTTGTAATTGCAACATTATACCGCTTGTGTATTGGTTCGCACATATTGTACATACGATCGTACTAAAGAAAAAAAAACAAATAAATCATTTCATTTCAATTTTAAAAAAAGTAGCGAGAAGAGATAACGCACCACTCCAGGAAATAGACGTTTGAAATTCTCCACAATTTCTGTCTTTTTCTTGTTTCTAGATACTTCATGTTTATCAACTTTAGCATCACCAAGTTGCTCCGAAATGTTTTCCAACTCTCGCTGCAAATTTTGAATCTTATCTTTTGATGTGCCTACGTCGGATTGTAAGTCAGCTCTAAGCTTTTTCTGATCTTCCAATGCAGCTTCCGATGTTTTTATATGTTCCTCCAACTTTTCTACTCGTTTGAGTGCCTCATCTCGCATATGACCTTTCTGTTTATGCTTGTTTTCTATCTCGGTTTTTTTTCTACCTTCGTTGTCGAGCTTATCTTGGTCTGATTTTTGTTCGCGATTGATAGAATCAAGAAGTTGAAGATACCTCGCGGATTGTTTACCAGCTTCCTCTTTTAGACGATTATATTCCTGTACCTTAAAGTATTTTGTTAGTTAAACAATTGCAATTATTTTATTAAGTTGTAATTACGTTTTATTAAAAAAATAGTTATAAATTAAATAATAATGTGTTTTAAGATTTCACGAATATTACGTAATTTATTTGTACCTGTTCATCTTCCAATTGCACATCTCTTCCTTGTAACTGTGATTGTCCTGCTATACTCGCTTCATAAGCAGCTTTAGCTTCTTCCACCTGACGCAATTCTTCTTGCAGTTCGTGTATATCTTTTTTATGAGCCTCGTCTGCAATACGCGCTTGTGCTAAAGATTTGCGTGCGGATTCCACTTTCTTCTGCATATGTGCAACCCGTTCTTTGGCTTTAATAAACGTCGGTCTCTTCTTTGTAATTTCTACTTCCACTTCCCTAATATCTTGCTCTATCTTAGCAAGATCTCTGGCCAATTTAGCGGCATCTTTTTTCTTCTCTTTCAATAATTCCTCAGCTTTTTCCTTCTTCTTCTCAACTTTTTCAATTTCATGTTGTTTCTTCTTTTGAGTAACCTCTAAATTTTCAATATTCTTTTCATTATGAAATAATCGAAATAAGTGTAAATCTATTTGTTTTTCCACCTAAAAACAAAAAATAAATTTTGGTGATTGACAATTATATAAGTATATATAGACAAGAAAAATAAACAGTATAGAGGATGATAGTTAAGTACTCTAAAAGATTTCTAAGAGATGATTTCTCATACTAAATCAATATAAAAACTTCACATGAATATCTGTATATTCAAAACAATCTAATTTCAAAGGTGTCAAAGTTGAAGGAAAAATTTCGAAAACCATTGAGTTATTTTGTCCAAATTTTGTGTATATTTAAAAGTAATATAAAAATTTCATCAAAATAACTAGAATAGTTTTCGAAATTTAAAAAAAAATAAAATTTTTCTTTCAACTTAAATATCGTTTATTATTTAATCTAAGCCGTTGTAGTTAAGTGTAACGGAGATTTATCTTGATTTGTGTGAGGAATCACATCTTAAAATCTTTTAGATAACTCAATTACCACATTGTATATACTGTAAAATGGAATAGCTTTAGCACAAAATCGAAATATTTTTGGCTCAAGTTTTGACAATGTCCAGATAAACACAAGTCAACATCTAGAAAAGGCTTAAAATATTTTGAAAAATTTTGTCTGTATTTTGTTTGTATTCGAGGTATTTTTTAAATTTTGATTAGTTAATTTTCTAATTTTAATATAATAATTTTAATTTTTTCAACATATATGATATTAATTAAGGGGAATCTTCTCAGTGAAACATAAAATAAAAAATTAATAATTGTGATTAGTAGTTAAAAATATGTACTTTCATTTACAAAAAAAATTCGATCCTTGTAGTTCATATCTTTTCTAGAAAAAAGAAACATGAAAAATATTTTATGAAGCCAAAAGAATTCTATGCTCCCTTAACTATTACAGCAAAATCAAAACATATACGCACGTATTCTTCTTTGAGACGTTGATATTTTTCAGCCTCTTCTTTTTCTAATTTTGCTTCTTTTCTTTCGGCAGCAATTCCTTTCTTTTTTTGATATGAAAATTGGGTTTCTTCTTCAGCTTTTAGCATTTCTGTTTTTAGTCTACAATGTTATTTTTATCATTTACAAATAGTAAGTGTTTCAAGTACAATTACATATAGCAACATTTGAAACTTACCTTTCATATTCTGTTTTTAATGAACCAGAATTACTAATCTCCTCAAACAGAGCAGTACGTTCTTTTGGATTTTTCATGGCTATAGATTCGACAGCACCTTGGAATACTAAAAAATTCTTTGCTTTAACATTAATACCAAGGTGCTCCAATTCATTAAGATAAACTTGACTGGTAACAACCTATGACAAAAATATTTTGAAGATCTTAGATGCAACTAAATAAAAATTCAACTACAAAACTTACATTATTATTAATTCTGTGTTCAGAAGAAGAACCTTGTACTGAACGCATAAAGCTTTTTTCAGTTCCATTTTCTAACTCAAATACAGCTGTTACTGAAGCACTGAAATCAAGAATAATTTACAGTTTTTATGTAATTCAATATGAAACATACAAATTATAATGTACAATTCCATAAATGAATACCATGTATACATATAGTTACCTTCGTGCTACTGGCATACCAATGGATGCACCATGAATCAGCTCGCTAAATCTTTTGACTCGTAGACTGCTAGTCTTTTCACCCATGACGAAACTGATGGCATCCATAAAATTAGACTTTCCTGTAGCACACATGTTAATAATAACACATCATAGTCACATCTACTTATACCTTTCAACATATAATGCCATACCTGCATTCAGTGAACTTAATGACTGAATGAGTAACTTTTAGAAAATCAAGATATAACTGACTCAACAAATCTAGAAATGTATAACTATTCCTGATAAAAAAAACTATCATTTAAGCATTGCATTCGCTGAACGCACCATTGTTGACACACAGAATGATAACCTACCGGATCCATTGGGGCCAACTACAGCCGTAAATGACTTTAGCGGGCCGATAATAAGCTTTCCTTTATAAGATTTGAAATTGTCAACTTCGATATGCTTCAAAAACGCCGGCATCCTTGAAAATAATCAAATAAAACGCATAAAATCCGAAAGTAGCGCAATTGGCGCCACAAAACTTTCAATGTAAGCAAGCAACACCCCACAATGCCCCACAATATCCGAAATGCAAGGATACCATTTCAGGGACGGTTACGACAGCGCGATCAACGCCATCAGTCGGCGATCTAGCGCGACCAATAGCCATATACTTAAGTAAGCCATATACTTTAGCATGAAATGATTTTCTTAGGCTGCGTTCAGATTCCCCACACCAGAAAGCGTTCAGATTCTTTAGGCCGGTATTTATAGTCAGATCTTATATTCAAGACATCTTAAATACGATCTTAAGAAGTCACGAACCATCAGAAGGCTGCATTAGCGTCTTAAGACATTAATATTACTTAAGATAGTCTTGAAATAAGACACGACTATGATTACCGGCTTAGAATTCCTGGACGCTTATATGAAACGTTCAGATTCTATTCACAGAGGATGGAAAAATCACCGGTTCCTTGAGGAGTGGAATGAATGTAGTGGCGCATTAAAGACTTTCTGTGCTATCCCAGTATGTTTGACGTGCATTTATACAAAAATTTAAATTTCAAGCTTGTTTGTTATAAAAAGTATAAATCATAACTCAAAGGAAGCCAAGTATTTAATTTATTAAATTTTATAGGTTGGGAAAACCTTAAAATATTGGTAAGATATTTATCTTATATCTTTTATCATTATTATATATATTTTATATATATATTTTATAGAGATATATATAATTATATTAATTATATGTATAATTTATATTAAATCTGATATATTTACGTTACTATTTGCTGTAACCGATGCATATAGGACACTCTTATCTTAAAGTGCGTTCAGATTCCCCAACCACTCCGGTATTTTTCGCTAGGTTCATTCAGTCACCCACCCAGGTTACGTTTCAAAATTTCCTCTCCGAGAAAGATTTTACTCTATGAGCTATAATATATGTTACGTGTACTATATATTTCGAATAAAATTTTCCTCGGAGAGGAAGTTTTGGAACATAACCCCGGTAAGGAATCTGAACATATCCTTAAAGGAGCCTTTACTGTAATTGACTGTAACCACAATATATACAGTAGCTCAATTCTCCTGGGGATCGATTGTATATCTTCACATGAGATGAAAATTACAAAAGTGAGTAAATTCACTAGAGTATTCATAATTTAATTGGTCCAATACCTAGTAACCTTTGCTCACTTTTGTAATTTTCACCTCCTTTCAAAATCTATATCGACCTCCTGATTTTATGTTGGCCAAAATAGAGTGCACATGCGTGAAATAAGTAAGTTGTTTCATCTCATTTTCTCCTGTTTTTATTTCTCTCTCTCTCTCTCTCTCTCTCTCTCTCTTATTTAAATGAGTGTTTCAATGTTCCATTTAGGCCCAATTATTCCACCTTTTTGCTAAATTTTACCTGTTAGGTAAATCTGGCAATCCACGCATGTGGTTGAGTGTGATTGAGTGTAATCTTGCTACTTACCCAACAGATAAAATTTATTAAAAAATGGAATCGGCCCTTAAACATTTGTCTTTCAAGCATACATAGAATAGAAATTTAGAGGGAAATATTACGTGTATTGTCTATTTGGTGAAATGTTGTGAGAAACCTCGAGAGATTGGTTTAATTTTTGTGAAAAAGTGATAAAGCGAAAAAGAACAAAAGAAATATAGAAAATCGAGCAAGAAAGATTTCTTTTATTTATTGTATTTTAAACTTATTTTTTTGGACATATATGTATATACATTTTTTTTATATCGGCTTTCTCTCATAATATTTTCATAGATACATAATTACATAATATTTCTTCATATAAATATACATTATTAAGTTTATTTAATTTTTCCTATATCTTTCTATATTTCTTCTTTATATATATTTTTCAATATATTTACAATTTATTTTTATTAATTTTCATAAAGTTTAAATTATTTCATTACAATAGTAGATTTATTCGCGTCGCATGCTCTAATATATTCTAATATGTTCCTACCAGAGAGAAACCAGAGAGAGGACATGTCAGCCTAAAACCTGTAATGGTGCAGTCACAATAGAAGGAATAAAAAATTAGGAATAAGGAATAATATAATATATCAATTTATCAGAAACCGTGTATTCCGATGTAATTTCTGATAGGTTGAAATCTTTATTCCTAATTTCTTATTCCTTCTATTGTGACTGCACCTTAATCGCAAAATGCTGCTACACACTATTGCCCTCTGATAAAATAAATGTAAACTACATAATGTCCACTTTTTAAGACTGGAGATGATAAATCGATATTTGATTCATATAAGGTGCGTCGGCATTGCAAATCAGAGACATCTGTTTGCTCTTTTATCTCGAAAATTGTTCGGCAACTCGCATCTTTCTGCAACATTGTCATCTCATTTGCATTCGGTATTAACATTTCTAGAGCCAATCGAACTGCTCGATCCACTCCAGATTCAAGGACCAAGCTCGCAGAACTAATGCAGATTTTCGCGCCTCAATTAAATTCATAATCTGTATATTTATGATAAAGGACTCCGCATAATAAAAGAAATAGAGAACAGAGAATAAGAATTTCAACCTATCAGAAATCATATATTGTGGAATACATAGTTTCTGATAGGTTGAAATTCTTATTCTCTGTTCCCTGTTCTTTTATTGTGCGGAGCCTCTAATGTATTCAACTGATTCGTTAATATACATTCGTTAACGTACATTCATCCCTTTTGATACTTCTATTTTACAAATAGTGTATTTGAACTGTTATAATGTCTGAGTCTACAAACATTCAACAAATGCTATCAAATAGAAATTGAAGGAGTACATTATGTACAATATTTAACGAGGAAAGTAAGTTTTTAATTCTTTTCCTCTTTATAAATTTTAAGTTATATATTTGAAAACAAAGAATTTGCTAGTTAATTTTTAGATCAAAGCTTATGTTGCATATATGGAATGACATAAAAACTATATTAATATATTAAAGATTCTAACGAATATAAATCAAGTGATATAACTTATAAATTGCCGAAATTTATTTTGCAACGTAATATTTTCTTTTAAGAAAATACATCTTGCATATGAATCTGTTACATTCATGTGTAACAATATATTTTTAGTATGTAAGATTATCAGTTTCTAAAAGTAAAAAGCGAAACAAATTTTCAATTAATAGGATATTTTTTATTTATTCATAAAAATAAATATTTTCATTTTATAATCTAATCTTAAAGGATAGTTTACAACTATAACGTTCGGAATTAATTCTTGGCGGAGTTAATTCTTCGAATAGCTCGAAGTTCATGTGATTAAGCTCGCAGATTTACATTGCCGAATGCACTTATAATCGTGCTACGTGTTGGGCCGTTATATCCTTTCTCAGGTTTCTCTCTGGTATGCGTTACATAGCATACATTTTCTCTATTTTTTCATATGCGATACTTTTCAAGAATAAGGTCCCAGGTATCTTATTAGCTGAAGTTCTTACGGTTCATCTTTCTTGCTTTTCTCTCCACGTTGAAGAGAAAAAGAGAAAAAAATGAACCATGTAAGAATTTCAGCAAAAAGTTCAGCTAAAAAGGTCTCTTTTTTAGGTTAGAAGAATGTTTTGAATGATCTAGAAATACAGATATTACGGACATGAACGAAGATTTTTGATTTTTTTAACTAGCCACAGTAGTTAGAATATGTATAATTATGTCTAAAAAAAAATTATGCTTCTTATTAATTCAAAAACGGTATAATTATTTAGGGTCCCTATCTCAAAAATCAATAAAATTAGACTCATTCGACGCGTTTTTGCGTGATATAAAAGAATCTGGCAGAAAAAAAGTGTCACTCTGCGAATCGAGATATTAAGCGTTAAAGTTGACGATTATCAAGATTAGGAAATCTATCACAGGATCTAGTTTCCATTGAGGATTTAATCCGAATGTAAAAACCAACTACAATCGAATATTCCCCTATTATAGTCAAACGACAGGAGAATGCTCGACTGTAGTTGGTTGGTTCTTACATTCTGATCCAGATTAAACCTTCAATGGAAATTAGGCCAGAGACAAAATGGAGGCTCGTATTCAGAACGCGCTTTTATCTCTGAAATTCTATAATATGCGTAAATTATAGCATGTTAGCGCGCTAAGCTGTAAGCGCGTTCTGAATACGGGCCGAAGTCTATCATTATGGTGTAGTAATAAGGTGAACTATTCTCACGGATGCGCAGTGGATTGAAAATAATGGGGAGATCTGTCAACCAATCAATTTTTGAGTTCATTTGCAGAAATTCACGTAATTCGTTCTGCAAATAAGTACATTGCAAATTAGTACAATTTTGATTGATCAAACTCCGCCATTATGCGCAATGGTTCACCTTATATAATTCCTTATATAATTATGATTGTACTGTTCCACATGAGTTTCGACTTTCCACACGAAGCGATTCTCACCCCCGACTTTGACCTCCTCCTCTCCTCTCTGCAAAGGGGCGCACGACTTCTGTCTCATTTTGTCTCTGTGACAGATTTCTTAACCTAACCTAACCTCAATAATCAATTTTAACGCTTAATATCTCGGTTCGCGGGGCAAAGTGACACTTTTTTCTGTCAAATTCTTTCATTTCATGCAAAAACGAATAAACCTAATTTTATTGATTTTTAAGGGGACCCTAAACTGTATAATTATCCATTTCTTTTATTGTAATTTATCAATTTCTTTTCAAAATAATTATCATCTTCTATTTGATTTATAGAAACTGTGCCTTCATGTTATATTCCAAACTGTACTCGTACATTTCGTTTTCCAACACAAAAGGCATCACATATTATGCTTTCCAAAGAAAATTAATTTTTTAATGCCATCTAACGGGAAAAAACGCCACGAACTTTTTCCCACACCTAATATTTGTCAGCAATGATTGGATGCTTATGGAAACAGAAAAAAATATAAAAGTTGAATCGGATTGGTTAAGTCAAGTAATATATTTATCTGGAGATACAGTAGTGTCTCCTCAGTGTTAAGTTGGGTTTTAATAACATCTAGACCTGAAAAAAGGAATAAGAGTAATTATTATTAATTTGAAGATAACAAGATAATGTTTCAAATGAAATATAGCAACAACTCACTTTGAATAATTACAATACAGTTATTGATTGATATCTGAAAAA